ACAGAGAAACCCTGTCTTGAAAAACAAAACAAAACAAAACAAAACAAAGCAAAACCACATACAAAAAAGGAGAACACATGAGCAATAAATTAATTGTGAAAAATATGCAGTGGATATGAAGCTTGGAAAAGTGGGAATTCAGTCAATAAATGCTTTGGAGCAGATACCACTCAACAGGTGTAGAGTTCAAAGAGTTGAAGGTAAACGACTCCTTCCTTCTGCTGTTACTGTGAGGACCTGGGGCTAAACATGGAGTGTGTGTGGGGGCACTGGGATGGCCGATCCCAGCAGGCCAAGTTGGTAAGGAAGTTGTCACAGAAGGGAAAAGCACGGAGGAGAGGGTGGGGAATTTAAAAAGAGAATATTTTAACAAGAAGCTGGGGGGAGAGTCTTCCTTTTTTACTTTTCCTTACAATTAAAAAAAAAAAAAAAAAGCTTCACCGTAGCTTCACTGTGTTTCCTTTCGTGGGGCTGTGATGGAGACTGAGTCCCCTTTACTGAGCCTGTGCGTGTCTTGCTGCTCAGCAGGACCCCAGCACAAGTACAGGACAGTTTACCACTTAATATTGTCTACATTTTTTATAGCACGTAAAACGTGTTTCTGAACTATAAAATGCTGTTGTACCGGTTCTTAGCCCAGTGCCGAGGCATGGTTTCAAGTGTTCTTTTTTAAAAGTAGATTTTTAATCTTTAGATTGCTAGAAGGAGGATTCCTAGGGATTTTCTTTTCTTTCTTTTTCCAAGCATGGTGTTTGAGGCTTGAGGAACAGATTGTTGTACTTAAACTAGTTTGTACAGTGGGCATTGTGTGGAATTTTAAATTTTATGCACGCTGTAATTTCTATTTATTTAGTGTGTGTGTGTGTGTGAGTGGGTGTGTGTGTGTGTGTGTGTGTGTGTGTGTGTGTGTGTGTGTGTGTAGATGTGTAGGTCACAGCAGCCTGACGGAGAACAACGGGGGATTTTGCTCTCTCCTCTTCTCTCTCCTTCTACCCAGTGGCTTCCAGGCTCCCAGGGGTTGAACTCAGGAGTCAGGCTCTGTAGCCAGTGACTCCATCAGCTGAGCCATCTTTCTGTCCCTACATGCTTATCTGTTGGGTATGAACCTTACAGTTTTGGAAATTTAATTGCTAAAACCATCACTTCATTATTCTTAGTGGTGGTGTTTCTTTTGTTTTTTTGAGATAGAGTGCTATGTAGCTCAATCTGGTCCAGAACTCACCGTGTAGCCCGGGCTGGCTTTGAACTCCATATCTGCCTCCTCTCTCATAGCAGGTGTCCTGGTCCTTTCTGCCTCTTCTTCCACAATGTCCCCAGAGCCTTGGGTGTTAAGGCTTGTGTTGTAGATGTGCATAGTGGGGCTGGGCATTCCATGGTCAGTTAGAACAGAATTAATTAAAAAATGGTTAAAGAAAGTGTACATGTGTTTACATTACTGGACATTGAAGTCTGTGGCTAACTGCACGTTTGTTTTGCTGTTCTGACCAACCGTGTTACTTCCTTTCTTTATGAACTTAGAATTCATCTGTGAATTATAACTTCTGAACTGCTTTAACTTATCATTCAATCTGTAGATTCAACGTGTTATTTAAAAGATAGGCAAAACATTATCAAGAAGAGTGTTGGTTCAGAATACTAAGGGCGTTTATATTAAGCACTTATTAAAGCAGTAACTCAGCAGATGTGAGAGATGAGAGGCCTGTCATCCTTCCCTGCGGCTTCCTGGTAAATCTAACCAGAGCATCCTGCGGAGGGGAAGGGAGGGGCGGGACATGGCTGCGGCTGACTGGTTTCCTGTTTGCAGTTCCTTCCTTTAGTGGGCTGATAGGAAAGTACTCTTTTGTGATGTTGCCTGCAAATGGGCCAGGTTTTTGTTCTTGTAAGCCTGTGTTTTCGGTGACTTTGAAACAGCTCAGGCTCCCTAAAAAATTGTACGTCGTTCTTCAGTCTCTCCAGGACTGGTGTTCTGCTTGCCTTTTGCCCACGGGGAGCACAGCTACCACCATCCCATAGTCAGCTCTCCTCCTCGCTGTGAGCTCGGAGCAGTAGCTGTTTCCTTTTGGTTTGCAGAAGGCATCTCTGTCAGTTTACTGCATAAATATTTTCAGTATTTTGTTTTCATCTGCTCCCGCTGGTACGCTGGAAACAGGCCTCCTCTGGGCTCAAGTAAGCTACCAAACATATCTGCATGTCACAGAGTGAGCTCAGGGCCAGAGCGCTGGCCTAGCATGTTTCAAGTCTGGTTCAGTCCCTACCACTGAGATGGCTCAGCAGGTAAAGGTGCTTACTGAGCACATCTGGCATCCTGAGTTTGATTCTGGAGCCTACTTAAACACAGAAGGAGGGAGCCCACTTCACACATTTATCCTCTGAACTCCACGTGTGACCCCCTCTATTATGTACACAACAACACTGTATAAAGAAAGAGAGGGAGAGGAGAGAGAGAGAGAGAGAGAGAGAGAGTTAGGAGGGTAACACATGTTCACATATCTGTTATCCCAGGATGATTGCCACAGGTTCAAGACCCATCTGAGATAGAGAATGAGAACCCTCTCTCCGATGTGGGTGTGTTTATGCTTATATAACTATGTGTCTTTATTACATGCACTCATTATGGAAATAAGAATTAAAAAGCCCCTTAAAATCCTTATGACGTTTCCTATGGTAGGACTGTGGCTTTCGATGGATTTACCATGCCTTCCGTGAGACCACGTACTGAGCATGCGTCCTTGAACATCCCTGGCATTTGCTGTTTTCATTTGTATAGCTTTCTGGATGGAGCAAGCTCACCGTCGTACATGTGCTCCTGCAGGCCCACAGGATTTCTCTCCAACAGGACAAATTTACTAGGCTATACGAAGTCGGAAGTAAAACTTCCAAGTTTTATGCAAAGCGATGTTATTTAATGGTCTTACTGGGGTAAAATTTAAAAGTGTATGGGAGGGCTTTGCTGTTTTCTCTTGGCTTTGAAATAAACACATTAGGTTAGAAGACTAGATCCATTTTTGCAGATGGAGTGTCTCCATAGGATACTCATCAGGAGAGCCCTGCTTCAGGCCTGCTAGACACTCAGTTGGACAGATCCAGTGGCTTCTCCAAGATCATTTTCATTTCTTGAAGAGAAAGACCAGAAGCAAGTCTCTAGGCTGGAGCTTTGTTCAGGCAGAGATAACAGAAGCTCCTCTTTGAATCCTAGCAGCGAAAGGATTGAAGAGAGTGTGCAGGGAGCAGTCGCCGCTCTTCTGTGATAAAGTGGTACTGTAGTGTTTCAAATACACAGCCGTGTGGCTCTTCCAGGTGACAGATGAGTGCTGATCCTGGCTTACTGGGTGAACACCCACTCACCTCTGAGTTCCAGCCAGATGCAACCATAGCGCTTTTCAGATCTGCTCTGATGATGTTTGTGGATGATTTAGGGGAGGTCTGAGCGGGAGGTGGAGTGATGGGGGAATGGGAGAAGGAAGCGGGTGAGGCTAGTATCTCAGGATAGAAATCTTTCTGCCTTATGCCACATGCACACACGCTATTCAAATATATAACTGAACCCAGAAGTTCATGACGTCATAGGGCAGCTCCTTTCTTCTCCCCTGCTTCCGTTTTTGAGACAAGGATCTTACGCAGCTCAGGCTCAGACTCAAGTTGTAGCTGAGGGTGGACTTGGATTTCTGATGTAACTGCTTCTACCTCTCAAGTGCTTGGGATTCCAAGTGTGTATGCCACCACACACAGTTACACATGGTGCTGGAGACGGAACCCAGGGCCTTGTGCATGCTAGGCAAGTACTCTACCAGATGAGTCCCATCTCCAGCCCATGGGGAGGCTTTTACATTACAGTGTGTGAGGCGTGCTATTTTCTTTTGTTCTGTTTTATTTAAAAAAAAAAAAAAATCAGTGTGGGGAGGTAGCTCAGTTGGCAGGATGCTTGCTGAGCATACATGAATCCTTAGGTTCAAGCCTTAGCATCACTTAGGGCATAGCGGCAGATGCCTGTAATCCCAGCATCTGGGGAGATAGAAACTCGAGGATCTGGACTTCAAAGTTCATTCTCTACTGTACAGAGAAGTCAAGGCCAGCCTGGGCTACATGATAAGACTGTCTCAAACAAAACAAAATCGGGACTGGGGATGTTTTTGCAGGTCTTTTAGGGCCTGGATTTTGGCACCGAATGTGTGGGTAATTGTTTGGCTTCTTATGATTAGTGCTCAACTATCATGGTCAAGTTGAAGGAAAACTGCCAGTATTTTGAACTTCCCATTGCTAAATGATGATTTTAGTCAGCTGGGACTGGAGGCACAAGAAGAGATGTTTACTTTAAATGCTCAAATAATGCGGCTTCTCCTTATCACGTTATCATTCCAATCATTGTGTTACCTTCAAACTTCTCTCAAGGCTTTTCCTCCTTTTTTCCTGGCAGCCAAATGGGCTGCTGGGAGTAACCTTGAATGAGAAAAGCTGGTGCTTGGGTGCCAACTTGGGGCCCTGCATAGGTAGCCTGAGCCTGCTAAGTCTGTATTAAGAGAGTCTGAATGTTCTCAAACCTTTTTTTTAGGTTTATAATGGATTTTGGATTGCATGATTTTTTTTATACATTTTGCATACCAACCACAGATTCCCCCTCTCATCCCTTCTCCAGCTCCCCTCCCCCAATTCCCTCCTCCAACAGGGTAAGTTCTCCCATGGGGGGACAGCTAAGCCTGGTACATTCAGTTGAGGCGGGACCAAGCCCCTCCCTGCTGCGTCAAGGGTGAGTAAGGTGTCCGACCATAGGTAATGGGCTCCAGAAAGCCTGCTCATTGCACTAAGGATAGATCCTGATCCCACTGCCGGGGGTGGGGTGGGGTGGGTGGGTGTCAAACAGACCCAGCTTCACAACTGTCTCCCGTATGCAGAGGGCCTAGTCCTGTCCCATGCAGGTTCCACAGCTGTGGGTCTAAAGTTCCTGAGTTCCTTTGAGCTTGGTTCAGGTGTCTCTGTAGATTTCCCTTCATGATCTTGACCCCCCTTGCTCATATAATCCCTCTTCCCTCTCTTTGACTGGACTCCTGGAGCTCGGCCTGGTGCTTAGTTGTGGGTCTCTGCATCTGCTTCCATCAGTTACTGGATGAAGGCTCTCTTGGTCCAATCGGAGCTGGTGGAGTCTGCTGCATAATTTTAATGTGTGAATTTCAGTTCAAGATCCCTCCCCCCCAGCTGAATGTGGTGGCACACACCTGTAATTCCAGAATTTGGAGGCTGAGGCTGGATGATTGCCAGTGCCAGGCTAGCCTGGACTACATAGTGACACCCTGTCTCAAACAAAAGAACAAAGTCCTCCAAAACCCTAAACCCAAACCAACCAACCAACCAAACGAACAAAAAGACCCAAAAGGAGAGAAAGAAATTCCATTTGATATAAGGCATTCAATTATATTTATAGACATTTATATATTACATATTAAATTATATCCCTTTTCCATTGTGGAAAGTGAATTAAGTCATTAAAAACCCTCTCCACCTGCAGCTTCCTGAACAGCAGCTCCTGTTCAGCTTGCCCTGTAGACATCACTAAGATGCTTAGCGTTTGAGCTGTGGTTGCTACATTAGTAAGTGTAGACCGTGACCCTGTGAACCACTGGGACTGTGCCCACGGGAGCCACTAGGTCCCCAGGTTCGTGCTTGATCTTTTCTCCTTTCCCTTCCCACTTCCTCTTCCCCTGGCTCTCTCCCTCTCCCTCTCCCTCTTCCCCCTTCCCCTGCATCTCCCCAGACCCCCATCTCCCAAGTCTTGCTCTGTAGCCTTGGGTAGCCTCAACCTCTACTAATCCTCCTGCTCTGCCTCCTGTGTCTTTATTAGATTTTTCCTTGTGGCTCTCCTGCCTCAACCTTGCTGGCCTGGTCCTGTCTTTCTCAAGTCTTCCGTGACAGAGGCTTGAAGGGCTTTTGACCTTTCATTCTGTAGATCCAGGTTATTTTATTTTATTATTTTTTATAGATAGTGACCTAAAGCTGGAGATTTAGTTTGGCGGAAAAGTCATGGTTAACAAAGTAGCTTTGCTGGGTGTTTCCTTCACCTTTGCCTGCAGGAAACAGTTAAAGTGGCTCCTCCTCGATCCCATAAAGCTGTTTAGTGGAGGTGACATTCGTGGTTGTCACGTTCAAACTAATGAGCAGAGGGACAAGCCTTCCTGGGCATACTGCAGGCTGAGTCAGATCTACCGTTCTGCTCAGCAGTCGGTGTGAGTCATTCAGTGGCCTTGTTTGGGGGAACTTCTTATTTTATCAAAGTAATACATAACTTTGGGTAGATGGCCTCTTCCTGGTGTTTCTCCTCCCCGACCCGTCTGACTCCCTCAGCCTCCTGTCCCCGAGGCCCACAGTGTCATTCCTACCATCTCACTCGAAACAAAGCTGGAGCATGGCTTTTCTCCTCTAATGACTAGGACGAGCTTCCCAGAGTCACTTCTCCATAGTCTCTCCCCTAGAGAGAGTTTCTGAAGAAAAGACGATGCTCGCTCAGATCTATGTCCCCTGTGCCCAACTTAGTACCCGTCTCTGTGGTTTTAGTAAGTGAGAGAATGAGTGAGCTAGGAACCTTCCTGCAGGTGATTCAGAGTCCCAGACATGAGTAATCACGTGTTGAGCGTGTAAAAATGGTGCAGATGGAATTCCAGTTCAGTTTCTCCATCATTACAATACCCTGTGTGACAGACGATTCCTCATTATCTCTGATACCATTTTCTGAGATTTCAGCCAACTGTAGCCCGAACGTATTAAATGGGAAAGTTTCAAAAATAATTCATAAGTTTTAAGTTGTGTACCATTTTCTTACTTCCTGGTTCTATCCCATGGAGGCTGTGAATTATCCCTGTGTCCAGTAGATCCACACTGTATATCCTACCTGCCTGGTAGTTACCCACTGTCTTAGTTTGGGTTTTTATTCTTGTGAAAAGATACTATGATCACAGCAACTCTTTTTTTTCTTTTTTCTTTTTTGAGACAGGGTTTTTCTTTGTGTAGCTTTGGTGCCTATCCTGGATCCCACTCTGTAGCCCAGGCTGGCCTCCAACTCATAGAGATCCACCTGGCTCTGCCTCCTGAGTGCTGGGATTAAAGGTGTGTGCCACTACTACCCAGCCACAGCAACTCTTATAAAGAAAACATTTAATTGGGATGGCTCACTTGCAGTTTCAGAGGTCCAGTCCATTATTGTCATGATGGGGAACATGGCGCATATACACAGACATGGTCCTGTAGAAGTAGCTGGGAGTCCTACATCCTGCAGGCAACAGGAAGTCAATTGAGACACTAGGTAGTATCCTGAACACAGAAAACCTCAAAGCCTAACCCCACAATGACACACTTACTCTAACAAGGCCATACCCACTCCAACAAAGTCACACCCCTTAATAGTACCATTCCCTATGAGATTATGGGGACCAATTACATTCAAACCACCACATTCCACTCTCTGGCCCCCATAAACTTGTAGCCATATCATAATGTAAAATGCATTTAGTCCAACTTCAAAAGCCTCCATAGTCTATTACAGTCTCAACAATGTTTTGAAGTCCAAAGTTCAAAGTCTCTTCTGAGATTCACGCAATCTCTTAACTGCAATCCCCTATAAAATCAAAATAAAAAAACAGATACTTCCAACATATAATGGCACAGGATATACATTACCATCCCAAAATGAAGTAAGAAAATACTGGACCAAATCAAGACCGAAAACCAACTGGGCAAACTCCAAACTCTGAATCTTCATGTTTAATGTCAAAATGCTCTTCAGATCTCCAAATCCATTCAGCTTTGTTGACTGCAACACACTTCTCTCTCTTGGGCTGCTTCCACACCGTTAGCAGCTTTTGTCAGCAGGTGTCCCACAACTTTGGCATCTCCAACATCTTGGGTTCTCCAAGACAATCTAGATTTCACAGCTTCATGAAATAGCCTATCTAGGCCTTCATTCAGGGACACCCCTGATACTTGCCTGGCCTCAGCGTTTTTCCTTAGTCACGGAGGCAAATTCCATAACACATTTCTTCTGTCCTTAACTCTAAAGCCAGAACCATGCGGCTGAAGCTGCCGAGGCCTGCTGCGTGCTGCAGCTGGAACATGGTCCCCTCATTGGATTACATCTTCACCAGCTTTCTGTACTTCACTGCCTAAGCTTGGCAAGCTGGATCTCTGGACTAAGCTGGCCTCAAACTCAGAGAGACCCACCTGCCTCTGCCTCTGGTGTGTGGGGATTAAAGGCGTGCGCCACCACTGCCCAGCCTTAGTGTTCCTTTTCACAAGTTGGAAACTTAGCTGGATGGGATTTTGCCCTGGGGTCACCACTCCCTGTATTCCATTTATTAATCTGTTTAGCTCCTTGAACACAGGATTTATCTTTATTCCACCTCCTGGTCCCCCCTTTCTCAATCCGTACATGTTGTATTTTTATTTGCTCAGCTTGCTTCTTTTCATTATATATCGTTATTAGAGTTAATACTAATAACCACACAACAGAGGCTCTACTAGGCTGTTTTGAGATTTCCCCTGCCAAAGGAATTAATACAAAACTCTTCACTTTAGTCTTTGGAAGACTCTTCAGACAAGGGCAAAAAGCAGCCACATCCTTTACCAAAATATCACAAGAACGATCTCTAGACAATATACTAAAATTCTTCTCTGAAGCTTCTTGAGCCAGACCCTGACAGTTCAAATAACTCTTGGCAGACACTTAGCAGGCCATACCCACTCCAACAAAACCACACCTCCTAACAGTGCCACTGCCTGTAAGTGTATGGGGGCCAATTACATTCAAACTACCATACCCACTCTCTGTCTTGGTATCTAATCTACTGTCTTCCTATCCCATTGTTTATATTGCAGTGATCCTTACCATGTTATTACATCTGCATTATCTGCCTAACTTCATCTGATCACATAGGCACTGACTCTTACAGGGTGAAAGGGTATAAGAAGATTTTGAGAGAATATATTCACATAGCTTCTGTAATAGCAGGCTGTTACAATTTTTTTCTGTTATTAGTTTTTGTTGTTAATCTTTTATTGGGCCTAATTCATAAGTTAAACATCATATATATATATATATATATATATATATATATGATGAAAATCTCTCTCATACACACACAGACACACACACACACACACACACACACACACACACACACACACACACACACACACACACACACATACACAGGAAAAAACAGAACACGGGGCCAGCAGGATGGCTCAGCAGGTTAAGTGCATGCCATCTAAGTTGGATCCCTGGAACCTACATAAATGTAGAAAGAGAGAACTGAACTGACTCCACATAGTCATTTTCTGAGTTACACACATATACCTACACACATTATACACAAATGCCATAATAATAAGAAACAATGAAAAAAACAAAAAGACTAGTACAAAACTCCCAAATCTATGCAGCATTCAGGTCTTCATGGTTTCAAGCTTCCCTTCTGGATTGGCAGACATGCCCCCTGGGGTAAGTGGAGGCTGCTCTGCTTTAATCCCAAATCCTGGCCCTGGACTCCTCTCACCTCTATCCCACATGCTTTCAATTTGAGTCAACTGCTTTGTTGAAATGTGGCAGTGATGGGTCCATGATGGGTCCATGATGCACAAAGCGTTGGAGAATGTGTTAACATTATGGATTATCGTCTGCGTTAGAATGAGGGAAGTCCTGAATCCCATTAGTTTGAATGTGGTAAAGAATTAATATTTGCTGGGCGGTGGTGGCGCACGCCTTTAATCCCAGCACTTGGGAGGCAGAGGCAGGCAGTTCTCTGTGAGTTCGAGGCCAGCCTGGGCTACAAAGTGAGTTCTAGGAAAGGTGCAAAGCTACACAGAGAAACCCTGTCTCAAAAAATAAAAACAAAAAAGAAAAGAATTAATATTTTCCCTTTCAGGAATGTCTGAGATTTTGAAGAAATTCTCAGTGCTTGCAAGTGAGTTGTGGTGTTGACAGTCAATTATTATTATTTTTTAAGAGCCAATTTTTAAATTTAGTTTTTTTTCTTAGAGATACTTCAGTGAATTATGAAATTATGGGAAATTATGACAAAATGGGAGTTAGCATTTTAAAAAGTTCTAAAATAGTTTTGTTTTCTTATCTCCAAATAAATATGTGTATTTGGAAAAATTAGAAAAAATTTAAAGGATATCCTGGCTTTGGCCTGCTGCTATGATTAGCACAGAGATTAACAAATGCACTAGATACTAGATTTTGTATCTGACATATTGTACTTCTGAATTCAGGGAAGAGGAAGCTGTTGATTAAGATCTTCTATTACACTGTTGGGTGGTGGCTCACAAGTCCCAGTACTCAGGCAGAGGCAGACAGATCATCATGAGTTCGAGACCAGCTTGGTCTACTACATATTGAGTTCTAGGCCAGCCAGGTCTGAATAATGATATCCTGTCTCAAAACAAAACAAACCCCCTTCCCCCCAAATCGGTTACAATTAACTTCTTTTGAGATTTAAGGACTATGGTTTGGCCTAGCCCTCCTAAATTCCTAAGCTTTAGGATGGCCTCTGACATCCACTCCAGCAGCCCGGAATCATTTCCCCTGCAGAGTTGCTCCAGTGGCCCTGGAATCTTCAGAGAAGCAGTCACAGTCCAGAGAGGCTTCCTTCCTCCCTAGTCCTCCGGCCTTCCCGGTCCCCACCCTCACGGCACCTGAACTTCTCAGAGGCGGTGGAGGCAGGAGGGATGGGATCCCCTGTTAGAGTTGGCGGTCCAGTACCTGGTGGGTGCCCCCTTGCTTTAGCAGCCTAGCTTATTTGGGCGCTCCGAGTCCAAGTGCACACTGTGGCATGAAACAGCCAGCCACCTCTTTTCCCGTCCAGCATCCCTTGCGATTTCAGTAGACCTCTCTCTCTCCAATTGTGTTTTCTCCCGCTACGTCCATCTCTTTCTTCTTCTCCCCAGACTCCTTCTCTCCTGTTGCTTTTTCTTTCTTATTATTCCCCTTTTCTTACTTGGCTAATGCATAGAATAGCAATGTTGTGATAACTGGAACTTTTTTGTGGCTTGGAGTGGAATTTTTTTTTTTTTTTTGGTTTTTCGAGACGGGGTTTCTCTGTGTAGTTTTGGTGTCTGTCCTGGAGCTCACTCTGTAGACCAGGCTGGCCTGGCTCTGCTGGGATTAAAGGCGTGCGTCATCACACCCGGCTTGGAGCAGAATCTTACACTTCCTCAAGTTGAGACCTTAATAAATGAGGCTGTGATGGAGCATGCTTTTAATCCCAGCCCTTAAGAGGCAGAGGCAGGCAGATCTCTGTGAGTTCCACGCTAGCCTTTTGTACATAGTAGGTTGCAGTAGTGAGACCCTGTCTCCAACAAACAAACAAACAAACAAACAAACAAAAAACCCAAAGTTAATACTGAATCTCCAGGTAGCTTAAGTAGGAGTGTGCCATTTCTTTATTTCAGTGGGAAATCTTTGTCTTCCCTCCAGCCTGGTTCATTTCTTCATTCTCTCATTGAACGAGTATTTAGGAGCACTTGTGCCAGACATCATCTGGGCTCTCGGGTGGTAGCAATGAACAAAAGGGTTAGAATCCCTGCCTCTCTGAGTTTATATTTTGCTGGAAGAAACAAGGATGTAAAATGCAGTGTCACGTGCTGGCAGATGGTGGCTTATTTCCTAGTGGAATCAGGAAACCCTTTTGGAGCAGCTGGCAGTTAAGATACACAGGAAGAATACTTTGGGGGGAGCTAATAGCATATCCCAAAGGCTTCAGCATGGGAAGGGGTCGGGTGGGAGAGGAGGTAAGGCCACGCCCGGGTAGCTGCAGTGAGATGTGCAGCTCAAGCTCAGCCCAGGGACTGAGCTCTGTCCAGCTGCTATGTAAGGGTGAGTTGGGATTTCACTCTCCATGACACCAGATGCTGTCAGCGAGTTTAAATGGCCTAACAACCTTTTAACTCACCTGCCACTCGATGTCTTTCCTTCATGATTGAAGTTTACACAGTTCCAGCATGACAGTTTAACTGTTTCCGTGCCTGCCTTTCCTGTTCTCACTTTTATGTTCTGACATATAACTCAGTGTCTACAAGTCACCACATGAACACAGAGGTGGGTGTGATCCTTGAGCTTAAAGGGCCTTAGCAAAGCCTTTGAGACGCTCTTGAAATTTTATTGATCTGCCGTTCTGTTAAGGCTGATAGATGCGTGCTTATTTGTAGGTCTGTGGCATAGCCAAGGTATTTAACATGAGGACAGTTGTTATAATGGTCCTCAGTCATAGCTATATGTCAGGAGTACCCATAAATAATCGTAGTCAGACCTCATATTTAGTGAATTGTAATCTCAAGCTGACAGGTCCAGATAGCTGTATCTTGAAGTATCAAGGTGTTTGTTGTTGCTTGTTAGTGTACTGAAAACCGGGAGATCCTGTTGGGCTGAAAGATCAGAAATATGCATGGGATGGTCTATGTGATCAGAAGAATGTTGGCCTTGATCTTGGCACTATCCGTGGTTCCTGTATCAGTAACTCTTTGTTGAACCACGTATGAATTATCGTGTTGGAATTATGGGGAATTCTCTGCCTTGACACTTTTCCTGTCTCTATCCCTTTACTGGTAAACCTGAACTGCAAGCCTTGCTGCTGATGTGAATGAGAAACAGCTGGCCAGAGGTGAGTGAGTGAGTGTGTGTGTGTGTGTGTGTGTGTGTGTGTGTGTGTGTGTGTGCGTGCTGTTTTCTTGAAGAAATGAGGTTTACCCACTAAAGGGAGCCAGAATGGGGTTGGGGCGGGGCAGGGTGTGTGGAGATGGGGATGGGAATTCCCAGAGGCTAGAGGGAAGGAAGATGGACCTTGTACAAAGTCAGTGTGTGGTAGGTCTGCGGTTGCCCTTACTTGTCTCTGTTTGTGGAAATTAGTAAGCCATGGGATGTAGGGACTTGGTTTCTTAAAAACAAAACCTTTGCATGCTTAAGAGAGATCAATTCTTTTTTATCTTCCTGAAGGACAGTCCTGTCATGTGGCATGTGTTTGCCTAGTTTAGGCTAACGCACCGACAAATGGCCGCAGGATCTGGTCTGCAAACACGTCTGGTGGGCCAGGCTCTTGTTTCTCCTGCCTTCTCTAAGCAACAACTCTTTTGTAAATACTGGAAGAGAACAACTAGTTCCTTGTTCGTGCTCATTGTTAGTTTTCTATTCTTGAGTAAGTGCAAAGAACAGGAGCTTACAAGTTACCAGGAGATTGGAGACCTGAGCTTTAGTTTACATGCAGTGTGGCTCTGCCTTAAAAAGTCGGAGTTAACATCTCCCCTGAAAACTACTTAAAACCCAGAGAAGAACAGGATAGACACATTTGAAAATTCACTAAAATTATTTATTATAATTTTTTTTGAGATAAGCACTTGTGATGTAATCTAGGCTGGCTTCAAACTTGTGATCCCCCTGCCTCAGCCTCTGAGTCCTGGGATTACAGGCATGCTCCACTACATTCAGCTAAAATTTTAATTTAAAGAACAATGTTGCTTAAAGTTCCTCAAGGGGCTGGAGAGATGGCTCAGAGGTTAAGAATACTGGCTGTTCTTCCAGAGGTCCTGAGTTCAATTCCCAGCAACCACATGGTGGCTCACAACTATCTACAATGAGATCTGGTGCCCTCTTCTGGCCTGCAGGCTGAACACTCACTGTATACATGATAAATAAAACAAACAAACAAAAAAACATTAACTTTAAAGTTCCTCAATACATGATCGGGTTCCTAAATGGACATTGAATAGCCTGGTCTACCTCTTCCCCTGCTGAGAGATCAGGGCACTGTTTGATGGGAAACAACCAACCTTGACCGGGTTCTGTCTCCGCTTAGCAGTCTTCCTCCTGTGTGTGTTTTCAAAGTGTTTTCTTCCTAATATTTCCCGTTAGCTGTTGCAAGAAAATCTCTTACCTTTATCCTGCCTCTCATTGTCCAAAATTTTAAATCAGTCCTGATTAGAATGCCAAATGTTGAGGAGTAGACATTTTGAAGTAAAACTGACATAAATATAGTAAAGTAGTGTTAAAACATTTGAAGTTATTCAGGTTCCAGTGTGAGTCACTGAAAACCTATTTGTTGGTTTCCTCGAGGTTTTCTTATTTTGAAAACTTCACTCTTACTTAGTATTGTTTTGTGTGTGAGTGTACCATGTGTACGTGTGATGCAGGCACATATGGACTCTGGCGAACACGGGAGTCGCAGGACAGCTTTGTGGAATCTGTTCTTTCATTGTTACGTGGCTTCTGTGGACTGAGCTCAGGTTGCTGGGTTTGCAGCCATCACTGGCTCCAACTCTGAATTTTGATCTTAGGAAAAATATTCACAGAATTTGAGGTATTTGCCTTTATCTGTAAACTCTGGAGTGTCGTTCATTTGTAAAGGAAAGAATTGTCGTACCACATGACAGGTGTTTGGAAAACTTAAATGTTAAGTCATGACTTGTGTCTGTCCCCAGCATCTTGAATGTAAACATGTTCTGATTCCTTGCCTTTGGAGTCTGTTTTTGGGTTTTAACCAGAGGTTGCCTTCTGACAGCGGATGATAGGTCATGCACAGGCTTATATTTACCTGTGTGTTGTAACATGTAACCTGTGGTTGCTCCTGTAACATGAGGGATGTAGGTATTCTAGGGGCCACACATTTCCTCCCTTCCCTCTCTGTTGGGTTCTTTTAAGCATCCGGGCGTGGTCTGCTTTGGTTTGCTTGGCAAAGGCTTGCCTGTGTCCTTATGATTCAATTGTCGGTGGTGTCTGTGTCGGCACATGGTCTTGCCCCAGGCACCAGAAGGCCACAGTGCCTTTGAAACACTGCTAGCAAGAGATGTGCACCGGTCCCAGCTGTATCATCGGTTCTGGGAAGACATCTATTGAGGCTGATTATGAAAATTCTGCTTTCCATCAAATTCAATGGGGAGACACATGTGGCTAATGGCTGCGATTCTCCCAGACTGCCCATCAAAGAGCTCCCACTGGCTCCACTCTGATTGTGTCCACGAGAGGGGTGGAAGCAGCATTTCTCATCCAAATGAATTTTGAGATATGCACAATCATATCTGCTGCCTGTCATCTGTCTACTTAACCCAAACTCCAAATGAAAATGTAGAGATGTCATATGAGGGCATTTCAGAGCAAGCACAGCCTCAAACAAACAAATCACAGTCATTTCTAGACCCTGTTCTCCAGAAGATGCCAGGTGAACTATTTTTAGGGTAGAAATAAGTGATGGGTGGAAATGTGATGCCTGGTTCTCCCCGTCTCCTCGCGTGCACCTTGCCTCTTTGTGTGGCAGAAGTATTGTGTTCTCCATCGCTGACTTCATGGTCTGTGGTTCCTATTGGATTCGAAGGCCAGGAGGAATAGCTTGTTTTCTTTTACACCGGGGTTCAGCCAGAGTGTGCAGGAGACGTGATACAGTCTTATTTGTGTATTTTAATTAGAATACTGAACGAACGTGGTAGATTAAAAGTAGAACAAGACCCAGGTGTTGAGAACACAGTCGCATCTCTGCTTAGAAACACCAGGCTTGCCTACTTAATGTCGGCGATTGTTCTACACTATTGCTATTTCTGAAAGTTAGAACAAAAGTGGAATTGTTTGTGCATCTTAGAAATGTGTGGCTTTTTCCTATTTTTTAAATTATAAAGTTGAATGCAGATACTGTTTTTTTTCCTAGTCACTGAATAGAACGGGAGGATGTGAATAAGAAGAAAACATTGCAAAACGTGAAAATTTAACATTTTTGTTTATGACAATTAAATTTTAAATCAGCCTCCAGGGGAAAAAAAAGCAGTTTACAAGTTAAGCACCTTGACATTCAAGATGTCTGAGAACCAAGTCTTAGGTGTCAAGGACAAAGCTTTAAAAGTTTCATGATGTCAGCTCTTTGCAGAGTTTCTTGGTGCATGCTCCGGTTTTTACAGGCGGGCTTTCCGTGGATATGTGTAGTTCTTTTTTTTTTGTGTAGTTCTTTTTTATTCAGGTAACTGGAACTGTTTCCCCTCCAGTCTCTGTCATCTTGTTCTTTTGTTCACAAAAGTACAAATATAAAAGCCATGACCATGAACAGTAACAAAAACTCTCTCTCCTTTACATGGACTTGGTTGGAGAGGCACAGGGACCACCTCAGTGAACCTGTGATATTTTGAGAGTGGATTTGATAAAGTAGGAGTTAGTAATATTTATTTTTAAGGTTGCTCATGCTAAGACACTGTGAGACTTGGAGACAGAAAAGGCAGGATGGGGAGAGGGAGCAATGTCTGACTTCCAAACGAGAGAGTTTCACGGACTGATGGTCTCATTGTCATGATTTTAGAGCTCACAAGGGGCATTTACCACCTCATGTCTTGATGTTTGCATGCCTGGGCAGCCTTTTGGGCTTCACTCTCTGAACTATTCAGATCCAGATGCACACGGAAACAGATGGTTGTACCAGGTTTTTGCCACTGTGACCAAATACTCGACGGAAACAAACTAAGGCGGGGTTGATTCTGTCCCATGGTTGTGGAGATTTTAATGCAGACATCTAGGTCCTGTTGATTCAAGGGGAGGCAAAGAATCACAGTGATGGGAAGGTGGAGGAGGAGGCTGGTCATCTCATGGTGAACCAGGAGCAGAGAATGAAGGGATTGGGGACCAGGTATAGCATGCACAGTCATACCCATCACGACCTACCTCCTTCAATGAGGTCCCACCTTCTAGAGTTCTCAGCATTTGTCAACCTAACACCGGTGGCTGGGGATCCAGTCATATGAGTCTAGGAGAGACATTTCATATCCAAACCGTAAGAGTGGTAAAAAGGAGAAACTATTGTGGGACTAAATTTATCTCTTCTGTGTGCTCTTGCTATGCTAGAGCTGTATGTCATGTGCCGTTAGGAGTACGCTCTATGTATAATTCACCATTTCATCTTTCCAGCAAACAGCATGCAAAGTAGCAATGTCTCAATGACACTGTGACCTTCTGCCTGAGGGAAGTTCAT